AATTAAACTTAATTCTACATGTAAGTATTTTAATAAGATTATATCCCATAAAACATAAAACATAGAATTATGACTATAAGGCAGGATTAATTTTTAATTTATATTTTTCAGATGTCAATGTGACAATGATGTGTCCCTCTGTTGATCCACTACAGCAGCATCATTTAACATATCTTCGTGTGGACCAAAATAAGCTAAAAGAGCCAATTAGTTCATATATTTTCTTCTGCTTCCCTCATATACACAGCATTTATTATGGTGAACAAAGAAGCACTAATGGTCAAACAATACAATTAAAGACGCAAGTTTTTGGGAGATTTCAAGATGATGATGAGGAGGAGGAGGATATTGATAATTATGACAGTACTCACATGACTCCAGAACAAGAAGGGTCAGAAGAACACGTGGACCCTAATTACTATGAAGTTCAAGAATGGCTAGAAATTATCTAGGTATACATTTGTGATTCTATAAAGCCACATTACACAATATAAATCTAAATATACATCACTCAAAGTAATATATTTAGAATTATGTATTAGTATTGCATTTGAGTTGCTGGAGGCAATTACATCATTACATTAGAACTTAAAATGATATAAATGTTTAGAAATATAAATTAGAATAAATGGAAACAAAACTCCTACATTTTAATGGCTTGTTTTTAAACCTAGAAATTTCATCATCCTGGGGAGAAAAGTGTCATTTCTAGTAAGAGTAATGTTTCTAAGAATGATGAAAAAGTGAAATTGGCAGTGAAGACCTGAAAGCAATGTTGTTTCAATTGCTATGACGATAATACATGACAGGTGGGCACACTAGCACAAGGACAGCCACTCATTTAAAGAAAAGACTATTTTCTTTAACTGTCTCCATAAAAGCTTTCACCTTTGTATTTGTGATTATCTCACTGTGACACCATCCCACTTCTTCACTTAGAGCACAGAAGGATAACTTTGATTTTCAAGAGACCACTACACTATGAAGTAGAGCAAGCAGACTGGTGAAAACCAAGTGTTCTCATTCTTCTCAGAGCACCAAAACAGGAACTCTGAATTTGGGTAACTAAAAATCACCAAACTATTGTAGTATGGTCTGTATTTTAGCAAATTTCAGCAACTCCTCAAAATAAATCTTTATTGTGTTTCATTTTAACTGGGATAAATGTTTTTATAGTAAATTAGAGAAAGCCCTCTGTTTTGGTGACAAAAAACTTTGCTAATAACTGCTTTGATCACAAGGTTAAGTTAATGTTAAGAAAATAAAGTTCTTTAAATAATATTGACCCCTTCTGTCTTCCTAGCAGAATACATTAGAAACACCTATGTTTATCAGTTGTTTTTTTTTACATAGTGCTGAGGCTGAATATGATTCATTTAATATCTGAAAGACAGACTAGTTTTAACATTTTTTCCCAAAACTTTAAAATTCCTTTATATTCTTTGATCTATCATTTTAAAGTCATTTAAGTATGCCTTATAATGGAGACTCTAAGCACTGTGATAAACTCTTTTGACTTTCCAGTCTACTTCATGGAATTCCTCAGCTAAGAGGTAAGTACAAATGTAGGGTTGTCTACATAGGAAATCCAAAACACAGGCTAACAATTCAGATAATCTGCAAAACCTAGATGGGTATAACTACATTATACCCCTAAGCAGGTTATTAGTATTATGAGAAGCAGAATACTCATCTATTCACAAGGAGAACTTTGACAATCCAGAAGAAACATGAACAAAACTCCACTCATCAATTTAGTCAACACCAAGTCAGATTGGTATATCTGGCTTAGCAATGAGACATCCAGAAATGAATTACAATCCAGGCATGCTGGTGCACAGCTATAATCCCATCACTGGGAAGGCTGAGGTAGGAGGATTATGAATTCAAGGCCAGCCTATAATACATAGTGAGATCCTGGCTCAAAGAAGAAGAGATCACAATTTGCATCCGTGATACTGCAAGATGTAAGTGTGACGGTAAAAGAGTGAAATGCTAGTGAAACACACAAAGTACACTTTCAATAGAGATTAAGAAATGTTGAAGCCCAACTTCCATTTTGACAACTTCAAACAAGGTTATAAAGTCAAATATCTAATGAATTGATATATGGAAATTACCATGGGTATTTAAGACATAAGAAAGTCAAGGATATTTTTGACCTAGAGCAATATAAAATTTAATGAGGAGACATCAAGAAAAAGCAAATGGAAACTACAATGAAATGAAATACCAACTTCACTCCCATTATTAGGACAGCTGACATTAAACAGACAAATAATAAGCACTAGTGAGGAGATGAAGAAACTGATTCCCTCATACACCAACTGATAAAATAGTACAGAGTTTTAAATAATACAGTTGCTTCAGAAAGGTAGTTCTTCAAAAGCTAGAGTCAGAAAACCTACTTTCAGGTATACAAAGCAAGAGAACGGAACATACATTCACACAAAAATTTGTACATGATAACTGCATTATCCAAATGTGGAAGCCACCCAAGTGCTTATCACTAGAGAAATGGTAACACAATGTAGCTTATGCACAAAAAGAAAATGATTATGAAAAGTAACGAAGCAATGACACACACTACAGCTTGGATGAACTTCGGTAACATTATTCTTAGTGAAAGAAGTTATTCATAGGACAACACAAATTGTACAAAATTCTTTATATGAAATGTCCAGAAAAAGGAAATTTGTGGAGACAAAAAGATTATTTCCTGTCTAAGGCACAGAGGCAGGATGGGGAGAAATGCACAGTGACTGCTAATAGATGCAGGGTTTCTTTTAGAGCTGATGAAAATTTCTAAAATGATTGTAGTAATGGCTATATACAAGCCCAAAAATACTAAAAATAATTCAATTGTACATTTTTAAAAGGTTAGCTTATATTGAATGCGCATTACACCAGCTGATCTTGTTTTTGTTGTTAAACCAAATGAAAACAAGATCAGCTGGTGTAGTAGACATAGCACTTGGGGGGCTGAGGCAAGAGGATATTGGGGGGAGGGGAGAGAAAGAAAGAGAGAGAAAAGGGAGGGGGAAAGGAGAAGAAAACAAGAACAAATCACTCTAATACAAAGAAGAAATAAAATTGTAAAATATTGCAACTACAAAAAAATCATGTGAACAAGGATATCATAATGGTAATTCTGTCCAGAGACTGGTGAAATAGCTGAAAGCATCTGAAAAAAAGTGACATTTCATTATGAGAGAGGAAATAAACACTAAGCAGAAATGCAGAGCCATGCTCTTGGCTGAGATTAATATAAAGAAATACTAATTACTTATTTAAATTCTTTTTTTTTTTTTTTTTTTTGCGGTACCGGGGATTGAACTCAGGATTCTACTGAGCTATCTCTCCCCAGCCCTCTTACTGAAATTCTTATACAGTTTAAGAAGTAAAAATCTTCCAATTTTCAGAATTCTGGGGTTTTGATTTCACTACCTCTTAAACTATTAAAAGAAAATAAATCTAAGTCTCAAAAAACACCCTCAGCAGAGAATAAATTTCACAGTTTAGCAATTCAAAGCAAGGAATTTGCTATCAGACACATGAAGGAAGTTTGACATTACCCTTCTAAGCTAGGAGACTCTCACTAAGCTCCTTAGCTTCTCTGAGCCTCCCTTTCTTACACACTTGTTACAGGGAGAGAGTGCTGTCCATGTCAGCTTCAGGTACTCAATGAACAACCCTGACTCCTTGTCAGCATGCCTGGCCCCACTGCCCACAGGTATTGGTGTGGCCCGCTCAGGCCGGATGCACTCACTTTCCTTTCCCAAGGGCGCACAGTAGACTCAGCAGGCCTAATGTCCTCTCCAACGTTCTTCTCATACAAAAAGAGGCCTCACTAAGGATTTCATTAGGATACATCTATACCCCACAACAAACAAATACAAAGTCACTACTGGAGAGTCTAGCTTTCCCATGTCTCACCACCTTTCCCATATCTGCTCCTCTGTCCCTACAAGAACACCTCATCTCTGCCTTGGCTTTTCTTTCTCAAGGTGTATGAGTAAATGCATCAGGAAACATCCTCCAACTCAAGGTATGATTAAGATGCAGGTTAACAACTATTTTTTGTTATTTGAAAATGCTGGCTGGAGAAACAACTCAGTGGTCTAAGTGCCTGCCTGGCAAGCACAAGGATCCAGTTTCAATACCTGGCACCACATGCTGTGTCAGCCACAGAACTCCAGGTTGTCGGCCAGCCACTGAAATTGGGCATGGTGGCAATACCTGTAATCCCAGTGCTGGGGAGGCTGAGATGGGAGGAAGACTGCGAGTCCAAGCTGTGTAGTAAGATCCTGTACCAAATAAATAACAGATGGAAAGAAAGACAGACAGAGAGAGAGAGAGAGAGAGAGAGAGAGAGAGAGAGAGAGAGAGAAATGAAAAGGGAAAGGGAAGAAAAGAAAGGAAAGAAAAGAAAATGCCCCAGTCAACTTTTAGAAGAAATAAAGCTGTCTTTTCTATATGGTTTTTTGTTGTGGTGGTGGTAGTAGTGAACAATTCACATGCCCACAAGGTGGGCTCATACTAAAACCCTGGCTTTCTGATTCCAAAACCAACTTATACTGGAAATTATAAGAACAGCTGGAAATGAAATTAAATCACATTATCTAAAAACCCACTGTTCTTTACATTCTCCAACTTCCTCAATAAATATAATTATACCTAGTTATAAACTATGCCTTGCTATAAGCTGACCTAGTTATAAATATCACATCACGAACACACCTCTCATCATTTTACAGTTTAGGTTGTAAATTCATTTTGCAGAGATTTATACACTACTAAGAAAAAATAAATTTACAAATAAGGCACACTTCTACCATGAATTCTTCCTTATGTTGAGTCATAAGGAAACTGCCAACTCCCTTGAAATTCACCTTTTAGATTCTCACTTGAACAAATGACCATGTTCAGGCATAACATGGAATTCTGAAATGGAGGCAAATTTTAAATTTTTTAAATGATAGACCTACCATAAGAGTCTACCAAGTTTGGTTTAAAAGAGTCTAAGGATGTAGAAACTCAACAAGGGCATTTTGTCCCCACACTTCTGACACTGGGCATCTGGAGATTTTTCCATGTTTGCCATTGGAGTTGCCGCTTCTGGTATTTAGAAGATGAAGGAGATGATAAAGAATACCATCTTCACCAACAAAGAATAAGCAGATTCTGGCCTGAAGGCACAGCTTGGTGTTAGAGTGTCTGCATTTAATTTGCTCAGCATGCCAAGGTCTTGAGACTTATCTCTCGCACTGAAGGAAAAAAATTATCAGATCACAAATGTTAAGCATGGAAGCTGAGAAACTATATGGGAGTGGTGGCAAATCTATGGCATATGTGCCACAGCAAAGCACACATAACCCTCTCAGGTCCACACTTGTACCAAGTCACCCCAGTACCTGAGCATCAAATAACAGTTGTTTTTTCCTAAACTAAAACCTTATTATTCAGGGCTGGCCAAATAGCTCAGCGGATTAAAGCACCTGCAAGCAGACACAGGGGCCAGGGATTAACTCTCCAGATCTGCTGTGCCAGCCCCAAACCCTGGGGCACCCTGAGAAGGTGATTGAGACTGGGTGTGGTGGCATGCACCTGTAATCCCAGCACTTGGGAGGCTGTAAACAGGAGGATCACTGTAAGTCCGATCTACTTAGTGAGGCGCTGTATACCCTGTCCTAAAAAACAAAACAAAACAAAACAAAAAAACACCTTAGTATTCAGGTTTAATTGCAGTGCTAGCACTTTGTGATAAAATAAGTGGACACTGGGTCTCTAAAAGTTTCACCATCACTGCAGTAGTGTAACTATATGCTAAATTCCAATCCAACAGATAAAGAATTGGAGCCAAAATTCACAGAAAATGCTTATTTACAAAACCCAGTTCCACTCAACACATCTGTCTTTGTTTACTGCTAAAAAGCAGGAGGAAGGGCCACAGACTAATGGGAAACTTTAAAAAAAAATAAGGGGCCAGCCAGATAGCTCAGCAGATTAAAGCAACTGCTTAGGCAGATGCAGGGACTGCCCCCAGGGCACGCTGAGATGGTGACTGAGACTGGGCATGGTGGCAAACACTTGTAATCCTAGTGCCTGGGAGGCTGAAAACAGGAGGATCACTACATGTCTGATCTGTGTAGTGAAACCCTGTAGACCCTGTACTAAATACATAAAAATAAACAAAAGCTCCCCTGTACGACCTCAAAAATAATGCCACAAGGTCATCTAAAAAGATCACCTAGCTGGGTGTGGCGGTGCACACCTGTAATCCCAGCACATGAGAGGCTGGGGCAGGAAGATTGCTGTGACTTGTAGGCCAGCTTGAGCTACAAACTGAGTTTAGGACAGCCTGAACTGCACAAAAACCAAAAACAAGACCAAAACAAAGTAGTCACGTGAAAGAACTTTATAGTGAAAATTCTTTCATTTTGGATACGATATCTTTTGAGCATTATGTGGTTTTCATCTTTTATTCCTGTACAGAATATAATATTTCCTTCTAGAAGAGAAAAACAATTTCAGTATCAAAGATACTATACTGGGAAATTTGAACAAAGTTTGGCTTGGGTAATCCACTCTGGATCCCTCTTGACTCTCAAGAGCTATTCTAATTCCCCACTTCCATCCCTTTCCCCCCAGTAAATTTTCCACTCAAAAAAAAGTTTTACTTTGCCTAAAGAGCAGCTTGGGCTTTGCCTTGGCTCCACCTTGGCTCCTGGGAAGTGATTTATGTCATTCCACACAGGTCTGTTTTTGTTGCATGTGCTACTAGCTATATATCCAATAGTTTAGAAAACCCAAACATGTGATTTAAGACCACAGTTTTGGGTTTTCTGTATCAGTTTACGATGAAGCTCATGGAAAAGCTTTACACACATGGAAAAGCAAGCAATCCATCATCATGCCTATGTAATGAAGCCCCCAAGTAAAGTTCTTATCAAGGTCAGAGAAGATGCCTGATTGGCAACACTCTTATCCCCTCTGTAGTCACATTTCTTACTCTTGTCCATCCCCTTCACCTCTTGTGTTTCTTCCTTGAAACTCCAGCCAATTTCAAGCAATTACAAATTTTCTAGATAACTATCCAATCATTCCCACACACAATAAACTATTCACTTTCTTGGGACATCCCACTGCCGTGTTGTCTCTGTCTCTGTCTGGCTCTGACTCACTCTCTCTCTGTTATTAATGACCTCACTAATGACCACAACCATGGCCTTTCCCAAGGTACCAGAGAACTTAAAGACTACAAAAGTTCCTGAAGGGAAGAATCTACTTGTCTCTCAAGATACTGAAGGTACTTCATAAGCTTTTGTTGAATGAATGGATAATAAAACTGTATTTACTCATTACAACTTTTTTCAATAACTCTAAGATTTTTTAATTTCAAATTCCAATAGAATGAATGTCTTATCTAGACATTTCATCACACAACTGAAATTGAGTATTTCAGAAACAGAGTTAAGGGGCCAGTGAGATAGCTCAGCAATATAAAGTACCTTATTAGGCAAGCTTAGGCTAAGCATAGAGACTGCAGTTCAATCCTGGCACCATATGCCATGCCAACCCTGCCCCCAGGGCGGGCTGAGTAGGCCACAAAAAAAGAAAGAAATAGAGTTAAATACATCAACCTATTCCAAATTCTTTATATTGAGTACACATGTTATAAATCATATTTTTACAGAAGAAATGCAAATGCTATGGTCTTTTACATTTTACAATCTCAAAGTATACATTAGCAAAGTTGATAAAAAATGGATATTTCTCTTCCAGGGACACTAGGGGTCAGTCCACACAGGTATGTCCTATAGCTCTAGCATATGCAGCAACTACAACCAACAAGGAACTGGTCACTCTGAAAATTCTCATTTGTGATCTTTGTCATTGTTTGCTCAATGGATACAATGTTCTGCAATTTGAAGTCACCAAAGTTAAAAACTATAAAACAACAAATGTTACTTCAGATATTATGAAGTGTATTAGAGTTTACAAACACAGAACTTCCAATATCAACAACAGGGCTTGATCCTTGTGATGCATTAGGGGGACAGGTGGTCTTGTTTTAAAGAAGGAATGCCAGGAGAGAGCATCTGGCCATGGGAGTCTGGGAGGTGCTACCTTCCATGCAGTATGAGGACTGCAGCACTTTCTGTGGTATAGAAGACACCCTCCATTGCCCTGTGAACTATACTGGCTCTCCTGATTGAAAGAATATAAAACAGCCAGAGCCACACACAGGAAGGTAAAACTTGCCCCCCTGTAGTGCCCAGCTGTCTGCATCCTAAGGTTAGACCTATGTGTACTGGTGCCTTACAGAGACGCGGGAGCAGTTCCTAGCCATGCTGCACAGCAGCCAAGTTAGAAGACACATCTTGACAGCCTATCACAAAATACATGTTCCCTTATTCTCTGGATTGACTGTGTGGAGCTGTCATTTGGATTTTCTTATTTTCAGAAAACCAGTGTCTTCCTTGCCTTAAAAAACAAATAAACATTGGGAAACCTCCTAAAATATTTGATTATTTCAGAACCAAAAAGGCAAAATCCACATGGCTTGAAATTTGCACTGTACCAACACAGATGTAATGTATCAGTCTAAGACTTCAATACCAGGGCTGGGGAGATGGCTCAGTGGAATAAGTGCTTCCTGGCAAGTGCAAGGGCCTGAGTTCAATCCCTGGTTCCGAAAAAAACACGTCTGAACTCCAGTCACGCCGCAACATCTCGTATGCCGAAAAAAAAAAAAAAAAAAAAAGACTTCAATACCAAAAGATATAATCTACAAAATAATTTTCTAAAGTAAAAAGTACCAAATTGTACCATTAGTTATGTGCATGTACTGACTCCCCTCCATGAATGCATTCATTATGTACTACAAACACTTGGAAGATAATATGCAATATGACAACCATTGTTAATTTCCTATCATCTTGTTTTGAGATTCTGTATCATTTTTATTTTTATTCTCTTTAAAATAAAAAATATAGGGCCAACCAAATAGCTCAGCAGATTAAAGTATCTGTAAGCAGGAACAGTGACTGGGTGTTCAATCTAGCACTTGGGAGGCTGTGAACAGGTAGATCACTATGAGCCTGATCTAGTAGTGAGACCCTGAATGCCCTGTAGATCCTCCCCTAAAAAATAAATAAATAAATAAATAAATAATATATAAATAAAAATGAAAAAGTTCCATTAATGAAGTCATGATTCTCTAAGGTTCTGTAAACCTGGACATACATCTATTCAGCTTAATTTTCAACATCCTGTTAAGCTATCACACAATACAAAAGAAATCAACTTCTGCTGCTTATGGTTACACATATTATAGACCTCAAAGTTTCATGTTGAGCCTTTTAACCAAGATGGTGCCAAAGGCAAAAAAAGAAGCCCCTGCCCTTCCCAAAGCTGAAGCCAAAGCAAAAGCTTTGAAGGCCACGAAGGCCATGCTGAAAGGCAGCTACAGCCACAAAAAGAAGAAGATACAAACATCACCCACTTTCTGCCCTCCCAAGACACTGCGGCTCCAGAGGCAGCCCAAATACCCCTGGAAGAGTACCCCCAGGAGAAACAGGCTTGACCACTATGCCATCATCAAGTTCCCCCAGACTACAGAGTCAGCCATGAAAGACTGAGGACCACAACACACTCGTGTTCATTGTGGTCAAAGGCAATAAGCACCAAATCAAACAAGCTGTAAAGAAGCTGCATGACATTGATGTTGCCAAGGTCAATACCCTAATCAGGCCTGATGGAGAGAAGAAGGAGTATGTTCGACTGGCCCCTGATTATGATGCATTGGATGTTGCCAACAAAATTGGGATCATCTAAACTGAGTCTATAAGCGCTTCCCTGGCAAGCACAAGGGCCTGAGTTCAAACTCCGGTTCTGAAAAATAAATAAACGAACAAACAAACAAACAAACAAACTGAGTCTAACTGGTTAATTCTAAATACATACTTTTTTTCCCAGTTAAAAAAAATTTATGTTAAAAATAAATATAAATTTTCCAAACCTTCTATTAAACCTTAAAGCATTAACAGTTTACCTCAGTCAAAATCACAGAATACCACAACTAAATTTAAAATAAGTCACATTCAAATAAAAACTTATGTATCCAAGCCTTATATATCTAAGCTTTGATTTGAATGTTCTAAAATTAATTCTGACTAGAAGAAAGAATATATTAGTATTCTGTCATGTTTTATTTATTTTTTGCGGAACCGGGGATTGAACTCAGGCCCTTGCACTTGCCAGGGAAGCACTTATTCTACTGAGCCATTTCCCCAGCCTCTCATGTTTTATTTAAAAAAATATATCCACATTTGTTAAACTTTTATTCTATAGAAGAAACATTATTTTCATTGCTAAAAACACCAAGAAAGTAATAAAAATGAATATAAAAACTCTTTAAAAGATGCTTGCATGATCTTAAAACATTACTTTAACTTTTTTATATCAAATGTAGTATTAGAATAATTTTATACAGTTCCCTTTGGGGATCGAACCACAGCAACCTGAGCCTGACTGCTTTGTTGAAGCAGGCACTTAAAGAGCTGAGCTAAGGGGCAGGCCCCCTACAGTTCCCTTTGGTCAACAAGCGAAAGCATTTTTTACAATTAATCCCAAACTTTAAATGAAATTTGTTTTTAGACAGCTAATTCTCATACTTTAATTTCTGTTATATGTAAATTTTAAAAAACACAACACAAATAATAAAGAATGGAAAAGCTATGAAATAATCTGTGCTGAAACTTACATGCGACATTTCTGGTTATACATTAATTATGGAATTAGGACAAAAGGTTTAGTCTTCCTAAAATTAAGAGCATAAACACTGCTTTAGTTCGTAAGCTATTGCATTAAAAATAAAACAAAAACAAGTTTTATCTCCTGGAAAAGCACCAAAGTGAAAAGCATGGTTTTATAAGTACTTCATTTTTATAAATCAATATTCACTAAAAGAGTGCTTGTTACAGAAGATAAAAAGAACATGGGTTTGTAGTCAGTCAAAGGCATCCAGTGCAGCAGTTTTAAGTATGTTCAGCACAATTCCCTAGTACAACACCCTGCATTTCACCCCAGAGAAGGAATGTTGGCAAAGATCTCCACCACATGGAAACTGCTCTTAAAGCTGTTGGGCCCTGAAATTTTGCTCAGCAGTCTGAAATCAACCCACAGCTTTTCTCATTCACCCTCCTACTGGGGGCTAGTGCACAGGCATGAATACCTATTGAGGAAAATCAAAAAAAAACTTCACATCAGCTGTAACGGTAGGCATGCTTTTCATATATTACTTTAAATATTGCTTGTTACACTGTTATGCATCTAATAGTCTTAAATGAAAAGGACATCTCTAACATGTTTAAATTTCAGTTACCATGAGCCATTAGTTTTTAACAAGTTTTTGTTCATATGTCATTGCAAAACATTAAAATCAAGCGCACAAGAACTAGTTGCTGCAAAACTCACAAACCCATTCTAATCTTTGAATTTTTCACAAACTGGCATCTACAATGCAGCACCAGTAACTGTGAGTGACTCCGCTTGAACGTACTTAAGAAAATGTCTGAAATGTACCCAGATGAACTGATGACCCTCCAGAATCCTTCCTAGAACATTCCCCCAAATTGCTTGATTAAAGTCCTAAATTTTTCCTAGTCTATAATATTGTTATAATTTTCATATTTTTAACTAAGAGCAGTAATATACTCAAAGTAGTGACAAACTATTAAATTTATAAAAATAAAGGATTTATGGATTTTCCAGTATTATGTACTACCTAAAAGTAAAAGTTAATGACTACTTTTCAAAAAGTGAAATTTCAAGTTTAAGTTTTAAACTTTTCTTGGAAATTGTTACTCTCATACCAATCTAAATCAAGAATTCTTATAAAACAGCAGTTGAAATATGATATTTTTAACTCACATGAGACAGGATCTTGTGTCTTCACTTTAACTATTTGTACTACAGGTATCCTAAGAAGATTTCGATTGCATAGGAGTACTCACATTCAGGGTGCTTAATTATTAAGAAACATACATTATCAACATTTCTTGGATTTTTGCTAGACAAATTAAACTTTCTCAAATAACTTTTCAGCAAGTTCATTGATACACAAAATCTGTTAGTATCTAATTAAAGATCACTAAGGGTTAAATACTTTGTCTCTGGCCCCTACTGTGTACATTCTGCCAAAAACATCCTCTAAGCTTTTAAATATTGCTTCGATGGTCTGAATTTTTATTTCCAGGGAATAAGAGAGTTTTGTTCCACAATAAGCAAGATACTAGTTTATTAGCTTCCAGTCACCTTGATTTCTGCTGAGATGAAGACTGTGCAGTCCACCCTACTATTGTTACTATTCATGCCTCTGACACAGCCAGCACCATCAGTTCAACAGGACTCGCACGTTATCTATGAGTATGGAGCAGATAATTTCGAAGAAACCATATTTAGCCAAGACTATGAGGATAAATACCAAGAAGGAAAAAATAATAAGGTACTTTATTTCTACTCTATATTTGTCTTCTAAAATAGTACCCATTTAAATGCATGTTTTTGTTTTTCATAAATATGTCTGATAAGATATGGGAAAGCAAAAGCATTTTAAATGATTAAAAGTAACTCTTAATTATCCCTAAGGTTATATTTTTAATACATCCATAACTTCCAAATTGAAAACAATACCTGTAGTAATCAAACAGTACCTCTAGTAACCAAAAACAAAATTTAAAGAAAACTAGACTTTAAGATGATCCCTGCCCAACTGCAATTTTTAAGTTAAGTACTATTACATCGTACCCTATATTTGCATGCTATATATATTGCCTCAAAAATAATTAGGAGAAATAAAGATGAATTATCAAGTTTAGAAAAAAATAGTTCAATGATATAAACAAAAAAGTACTTGTGATGCTAACTACACACATTATCAAAAAAGAAAAAGAAAAAACTACTTACTATGGGGTTTTTAAGTCTACAGTTTATACCAAGGATCTGTAATAGTCACTGAGTTAACACTCTGTAGGGATAACTTTGCACCACATCATTCACAACCTCCTTTATAGGCAAAGTAAGTACTTGTGGTTTTCTTGGCACACAGAAAAACTGTTGGGTAAGGAAAAAGCTAACATAGCATATAAACTATTGGTTGGCCATTTTGTGTCATACACACATACAATGGAAAAGAAATGTAACATACAATATCAACTGCTTGGGATGTTCTCTGTAAATTGAACAGCAAGATGTTTATTGCAATAATTAAAATTGCTTTTCCTTTAGCACACAATGAATGTTAATATCACAGTACCTTCCAATAAAATTAGTTAACATGGTGGCATTATTTATGTCCTATAACTAAGACAAAATAAAAACTAGTATCTCTAGTCACAACTTAAATTTTAAAAAAAGTGTATCATAAGATAAACTATTGGCTCACTTAGGTTACCTGAATATATCAACTAATTTTAAGAACTTTCAAAATTCCCTGGCCTAAAAAGCTTGGAAATGACCTTCCCTCTGCTGCTTCTTTTACAGGTTCCAGTAGTTTCTCTAGCTTAGTATCAATATAAACACTAATATTTGTGGAATACAGTACAACTCATGGGACAGAGTGTGGGAGGGATATTCTGGAAGCACACAGATGAAAAATGAAGGCTAAGGACTAGGTCTGAAGCCGTGACTGAGATAAGGTGGAGCAAGAGTAGAAAGAACAGAACCTCACCTAATACGCTATAGCTTACTGGCAGAAAACATACTCTGAGAACAGAAGAGAGGGTAATGATAAGGACTTCTATTTCTAGTGTTACAAGCTTACACCAGTGGTCCAAAGGGGAGGAGAAGCTAGAATACAAGGGCCTCAAATCCCAAGACATGGAAGTATGTAGAGAATTAAAAGGCCACCTTTAGAAAGGAAGAGACTAAAAGAGCTCACACAGTACTTTACAAATATAACATACTGGCACTCTAGTGTTGTTCAAAGTAACAGAATCTGATACTAGGAAACAAATTTTTTAAAAATGTGGGAGTTTCACTACAGTAAAACTTCCATTTTCATTCAGAGAATTCTCTCCCAGGTCCTTCCCATTTGGAATCTCAATATGTTCAATATTCAACAAGTACTGTTTAGCCACTGGAAATCTAAAAATTAAAAGGATGGTTCTTTTATTTAAGAAGCACAAAATCATAAGAATATATTTACACTGTAATTTAGTGCATGATGAAGTAGAACCATGTATAAAACTCTAATGACGCACAAAGGAAATGCCAGTAACTATGAATCTGAGAAATACTGTGATCCAACCTAAACAAACTTATTTTTTCTCACCTGATAACAAGCTTATTTTTCTAACAGAAAAAAGTGCCAGTGATAATACCTGTTGAGAACAGATTTCAGTTACAAAGAGATGAGGCTGTAACACCATTACCCTCCAAGAAAGAAAATGATGGTAAGTTCATATTCTATCATCTAATTTTTTAGGAAGAATTTTTTTTAAATAGCTATAATGGAACTTTATTCCTTGTAGCAATGAAACACTATCTCAAAATATACAAGTTACAAGCTAAAATTTTCATTTCCAATGGTAGATTCAAATAGCTATCTCACCTTCTAAGTGAGAAATTTGAAACAAGAACAATCAAAGCTTAGATTAAGCTTACCCTCCACAAACTGTATTTCTGTCCACAAAAGATCATCTTGAGAAATAATTAAAGACTGATTATTTGCCAGATACAATGTACTGCCTTAGGATAAGTTAAACAAAATACCTTACCTTCAAGAAACTCACAGAAGTAGGTTTCCGTAGTGTAATGGTTATCACGTTCGCCTCACAAGAAACTCACAGAAGGGCCGGTGAGGTAGCTCAGCAGACTAAGTGCCTGCTTTGGCAAGCACAGGGACCAGGGTTAATCCCCAGTCCTGCATGCTGTGCTGGCCCTGGCCCTGCCCCTGGGACGTGCTGAGACAGCAATTAAAACTGAGTGTGGTGGTGTGCGCCTGTAATCCCAGCACTTGGGAGGCTGAAAACAGGAGGATCGCTAAGAGTCTGATCTACATAGTGAAACCCTGTAGACCCTGCACTAAATATATATATATATAAAAAAAAAACTCACAGATAAACAGCTATAATAAATAACTAAAACATCCATTTCAATTAAAAGAGAAAACTTATTACAAAAGTAAGCAACCAGTGCTATTTAATAGTTATATGTTTGGTTTATTCTTGTTCTACCACAGAACATTATTTCACATAAAAACACGGGGGGGGGGGGGAAGTACACTAATTTCTATTTTACTAAAATACCATTAAAATGAATCAAAGTACAAAACATCTCTTAAAAGATTTAATAAGTATTTTTAGTCAAATCAGACTTGGGCAAATGGAAAGATATTCTTTGTTTTTGAAAAAGATGATTCAATATCATAAAGATGCCATTACTCTATACATTCACAAATTTTAGACAATCCCACTAAAGTTACCCAATAATTTTTTATGAATTAAAGGACACTGCTTCTAAATTTCATTTGGAAAATATGCAAAAATAATCAGGAAACACTGAATAATGTCAGGTACATACAAAACTATATGTACCATACATTAAAACATACTTTAATAATTGGGAGGGGCAGAGAGATAGCTCAGTGGAATAAGTGCTTGCCTGGTAAGTGCAAGGTCCGAGTTCAATCCCCACAAAAAACAAAAAAACAAAACAAACAAAAAAAGTGGGGGGATAGCTCAGTAGAATAAGTGCTTGCCTGGCAAGTGCAAGGGCCTGAGTTCAATCCCCTGTTCTGAAAAAAAAAAAAAAAAGTTGTGGATACTACCATGGAAACACACCAAAAAAAGACAATGGAATACAAAAGACAAGAAACAAGCTGGGCGTGGTGGCACACAAATATATCCCAGTATCAGAGGCTGAGCCAGGAGGATTACTACAAGTCTGAGGCCATCCTGGGCTACAAAGTAGGTTAGTTCTATTCCAGCCTGAACTGCATAGTGAAACCCTGTCTCAAAAAGACACCCCCTCTCAAAAAAAAAAGAGGAAAAAAAGCCCCAGAAATATATATACACAGAAATTTTTAATATATAATTAAGGTATTAACTCATAAAAGAAAAAGAGTATTTTTAGCCTTTTGAAAAAGGACACAAGTCTAGGAATATGGCTCAGTGGCACAAGTCCCTGCCTGGCAAGCACAAGGTCCTGAGTTCAATTCCTAGTACAAAAAAAGATACAGGGGCCAGGGAGATGGCTTAGTGGAGTAAGTGCTTCCCTGGCAAGCACCAGGGCCTGAGTTCAATCCCTGGTTCTGCAAGAAAAAAAAAAAAAAAAAAAGATACAATTAGATCCACACCTTACACAGAAAAATAAATCCCAGATGAATTAACAACAGAAATGTATAAGATGAAGATGATCATACAAATACTAGGGAGACAGCCTGACTAAACTCAAAAATCTAGAGATCTTGACAGAAAAGATCAACAAATTTGACTCCATGAAAGTAAACCATTGGCATAACTCATAATAAAAGCTGAACAGTGAAAACTGAGAATATTTGCTACAAAAAAAGAACAAATAGGGGCTGGAAAGGCAGATCTGCAGTCTAAGTGCTTGCTGGCAAGCACAAAAACATGAGTTCGATCCAAGGGACCACATACCAGGCCAACCCCAGAACCCCAGGTGTACCGTGCCAGGCCTGAAATAGGACGTGGTGGTGCACGCCTGTAATCCCAGCTCTGGGGACACTGAGACACGTGGATCACTACAAGTCTGAACTGCATAGTGAGACCCTGTCTCCATTAAGTAAATTTTTTAAAAAGAAAAGGAAAAAAAAATCTCTAATTTATAAAGAACTCTTAGAAACAAGATGACAAAAAAGGGGGGTGGTGGTGCATACCTGTAATCCCAGCACTCAGGAGGCTGAGGCAAGAGGATCACTGAGAGTTCAAGGCCAGCATTGGTAACAAACAGAGCTGAAGGCCAGCCTGAACTACATAGCCAGACCCTGTCTCAAAAAGAAAAAAGGAAAACCTGGGAGCCGGGGATATAGCTCAGTGGCATAAGTGCCTGCCTGGCAAATGCAAGGTCCTGAGTTCAATCCCTGGTACCACCAAAAAAAAAAAAAAAAAAACGAAAAACCTCTTAGAAATTAACAAAACCCACTTCAAAAATGAACAAAGAAACCAATTCACAAAATTGTTTTCAAATGACACTTATACCATGTTTAACTTACACAACTGGTAAATATGGAAGTATGACAATACACTAACAGTTCATGGACAATGCTGTATATAATGCTAGCAGAAATACACAATAGTGTAACATTTTTTAACAAAAATTTGGTAATATTTAACAAAATCAAATATACCTCTCCTTTTCAACATAGACATCAACTTCATGGAAACTGCCCTGAAGACACACTTCTAAAATAACGAAATGCAAGATTGGTGTGGTAGCACACACCTGTAATCCCAGCACTTGGGAGGCTAAAAGCAGGAGGACCATTACAAATCCGATCTGTGTAGTGAGACCCTTTGGACCCTGTAGACCCTGTACTAAATACAATAAATAAATTAATTAATGAAATGAAAATGTAAAATTATCAAAGCATTATTTGCAATTGCAAAATATTGGAAAAAATCTAAGTATCCAAACAATAAACAGTTAACATGGCTCCTCCAAACAAACAAAAAAATACAATGCAGTTTTTTAAATGAATGAAAGTTTGCTAAGAATATAGTCTGCACTCTGTGAAGAAAAAGTGCAAGAGAATATTTATAATATGTTGCCTTTAATGAAACAAATAAAGGTATAGAAGAAAATTTACAGTACCTGTTCATTCATGTGAAAAGAAACAAAAGAATGGTAATTTTAAAAAACAGATGGGTGGAGGTGACGTGTTAGAGTGCTTGACCAGTAGGTGCAAGGTTCTAGGTTTAGTCCTCATAGCTAAACAAACAAACAAACAAAAACAAAACCTAAGAAAAGTTATTTATAGAAAATAAAGGGGGTCATGGGTAGAAAGAAAGGGTAGATAGAAAGGAGGTAAAGACAAACTCAGAATAGACAGTGTCACTGCTCTCGGTATACTCTCTCTGTGTCAAACTGATTTTTACAGCACTATTGCTGTATCAATACTGAACTTTTTAAAGCTTTCAATGATAACTAACTGCTGGCTGTGGCATACATGCTATAGACTCACTACACTATCACTGGTATCAAGTCATGGTCTGTGTATAAAACAGAGAAACAGTAATACACATGTATTATTGTCACTGTGTATATATGTTTATGATGTGCATTTTTATACACATGTATTTTATGCATGAATATAGCATATATTTATAAACATATTATGTTGCATTATTTATGGATAAACAAAAAGACACACTTATTTTTCCTAGTACTCTCTACTGAAAGAGATTAGAAGCAATTATATCCCCAAAGCCATGAGCACCCTCAGCATCTGAATTTTTGCTTCTAATATCATTCTCCATTGAAAGGAACTACTGCTTCTTAAAGAGATAGCTGGGGATGAGGACAGAGCTCAGTGGCACAGCCTGCTGGCCAAGAGCAAGGTCATGAATTCAATTCCTGGCACCAAAACAAACAAACAAACAAACAAAAAAAAGAAAGATACTGATTTCAGGACTAGGGGAGAGAAAAGGCACAATTGGTCAGGGATATCCTGCCATGTCAGAAAATAAGGAAGTTCTCAAAGAATGGGGATGTTTCACATATTTAAAAATATTTATCAAAATATATGACCAACTGGTTTCTGACAAAGTGCCAGAACAATTAAATGAAGGAAAGAATAATAGCTTCCAAAAATCATCCTGAAACACCCAATAGGGGGAAAAAATCTTGACCTTTCCTGACAGCATATATACAATGGATTTGATACCTACATAAATTCTAGAAGCAATAAAACAAAAGGCAAAATATTAGTGGTGATTAATGGTGTGAATCTTAAATTCTTAAATGTCTCCCAAAATTCATGTAATTGAGCCCACCTGATGGGGCTGCACAAAAGAGAAAGGGAGTAGTTTGAGGAAGTTAGATCATGGGGCTGACTGTTGTAGGCATACTGGGCCACTGGCACTCTGCTCCTGAGCTACCACACGTAGACTAGCTTTGCTGTGCCACACATTTCCCTCCATGATGTTCTGCCTCACCACAGGTCCAAAAGCAACAGAGCTAAGTAAGCACGGACTGAAACCTCTAAAACTGGCAGCCAAAATAAGCCATTCTTACTTTATTATTTCCTCGGGTATTGTGTCACAGTGGCAGAAAGCTGACAGTGATAGAAAAACATTTCTTAAATCTAACACATAACCACATGAATTATAAAGGAAGCAACCATTCACTAAAATTTGATTATACTTCAAGAAAAACCAGTAAGAAAATGACAAGTTACAACCAGGGTAAAACATTCATAAAATTTAATCTGACAAATGACTTAAATATGCTCTTACAATTCAATATAGCACAGAAACCCAACTATAAAGTGGCAAAACATATTAATGGACCTTCAAAGAAAATTTCGGATGGCAAATAAAAAGATGTCAAAAACAATCATCATTAGGGAAATTCAAATTAAAACACAAAGAGATGCTACAACATACCCTACTTGAATGGCTAAAATTAAACTGACCACATCAAATGCAGACAAGGACACAGGGCAACTATAATCCTCATATACTGCTGAGGGGAATGGAAAAATGACATAATCCTTTGGAAAACAGTTGGAAACTTTCTTCTAAAGGTAAATATTCACCCATATTAAAACAAGTCACTCCATTTCTAGTCTGGAATGAAAGTATTAAGTCTACACAAACTTATAATGTCCATAGCAGCTTTCTCTGAAATGCCCCAAACCTGGAAATAACCACATGTCTCTAAAAGCTGATGTAAAAATTGTATACAAAATTTGCCAAACACGTATACATAAGGAAAAGACAAACTTTTATAAATACTTAATACTAAATGTATTGAGACATCATAAGATTAAAACAAGCTAAGTTTGGCCTCTACAATTATAAGAGGTGCCAAAGTGGTAGTTATTAGCTTCTAGATGATGAACTGTTTAGGTGTGTATACACTTTTGGGGGCACACACTTCATATTGAGACAATAAAATACCATTCAGTAATAAAGGCGAATGAATTACCAATACACACAGTAATAGGTAAGTCTAAAGATAACTACGCCAAGTGAAAGAAACCAGACCCCCCCCCAAAAAAAAAGATATATTGCACAATTCTTTTTTCTTAAGTTTTATAACTGCAAAACATACAGTGACTGAGAGCAGTAGAGGAAGTGGTTGCTTAGGGACAAGATTAAGAAGGAATTACAAAGGGGCATAAGAAAACACTGGAGGTTGATGAATGTATTAATTATCTCAACTGTAGTGAAAGTTTCATGGGAGTATACATATACCAAAAACTTTTAAATTGTACAAGTTAAATATATGCAATTTACTGTATATTAGTAATAACAAAAAGTGGCAGAAAGAAAAGTCTTGAAAAGGCTCTCATTGGCTACACTGTGGCAACTGATTATTAAGATAATCATTATTTTAAAAAATCATGATAGTTGTACAATGAATGACTAAGACAACAATATGCAATGTATTAATTATTGAAAATGTACTAGTAATCGGTTGTGAAACTGTCTCATTGTTGTTTCTCAATAAAAATATTTTTTAAAAAAAGACCAAAAAACTCATGATAGTAACAGTATCACTCATGGGATAGAGTACATAAGCACATATTGATGTAAAAAAGGAGTGTTTTACCTCACAGCAGAATGCCACCTAAAACATGCAGAAGGAATGATGGAATTCTTTGCAACTATCCTAATGATAAATAATCCAACTAAGAATCATCAATGAATGCTAAAAATGCGGATGAACATTTGATAATGCACTAGACCTTTTTTTGTGGGGGGTGTCTCAAAGTACTTCTCTAGAAGATATTTAATTACAAGGTGAAAAATAATAACTTTATAGAACAAGAAACATAAGAGACACCCCTTGAACAAAGTGACCAAAGATATTATCAGAAATGGAACAAACAGAAATCATGTGTCTCGTGGGCTGGCTAGATAGCTCAGTGGATTAAAGTGCCTGCTTAGGCAAAGTGGAGGGGCCAGGGTTCGATCTCGGGCCAGCTGTGCCGGCCCCACCCCTGGGGCATGCTGAGGAGATTGAGTCTGGGCATGGTGGCGCACACCTGTAATCCCAATGCTTGGGATGCTGAAAACAGAAGAATCACTATGAGTCTGATCTATATAGTGAGACCCTATAGACTTTGTACTAAATACATCAAAAAAGAAAAAAGAAATCGTATGTCTCCTGATACATGTCACTATCATTTCAATGGTATTCCTATCAAAATAGAAAGACTGCAAAACTGACACAGGAGGAAAGGGGCAATGCCCTGTAACTTCTCAAAAAAAGAAATATGTAAAAAAAATACTGCAACATAAAGAAAACTAAGAAGTATGACTACAAAGTACAAAGAGTGACTGGGGGTTACAGCACCCTAAGAGGTATCTAAACTTGGGGTTCAAACAATGACTGTGGTGATTCTAATTTTCAAGTTGATTGTTTGCTCATTTAACTATGGATTTCTAAATTTATTATCCAATATCATGCTGAAATATGTATCTGATACACCAAACTTCACAAATCAAACTTGTGCTTCCTTAGCTCCTGTTCTATGAATTTTTTGGTACTGCAGTGAGGAAATATTGTCAAATCAAGTCAACAATCAAACACTACTAAATCAAAGAATACAGAAAATATATTACAGTCTTTAAAACAAAATTCTGATCAGTTACCAAGTACAACGTAGGTCACCGGCTACTATGACTATCATCCATGATTTATGTAAAGTAGCTCTTCAAATTTTATCATTAGAGGCCCCAAAATTTTAAATTATTGTTTCAACTTTTATGATTCTGTTTCCCAATTTAGAAATGCCCACGTGCCTACTCTGTGTGTGTTTAAGTGGTTCTGTATACTGTGAAGAAGTGGATATTGATACTGTACCACCCTTGCCAAAGGAATCAGCCTATCTTTATGCACGATTCAACAAAATTAAAAAGCTGACTGCCAAGGATTTTGCAGATATGCGTAAGTTCAGTTTAAATAAGATACATATAATCACAAACTCGTACATATTTGTAACCTACTATACATACGTCCAGGGTGTCACTTTTGGGAGTATTTAGGTGTCTACACACTTCAAAAAAATTCATTGCTTTGTAGATAAATCTATAGACTTTCTTGACACTTTTCTTTAATGGCGACTCTTTTAATTTATATCAACAGCCCGTGTAATGTAAAGACAAATGAATCTTCTAAAACACAATACTTTAAGAGCTATTATGCCTTTGATAGTAAGCAGCACCAGTATAAAAAGGATGTTTCTTAAACCATAGTACTTTATTTCCTATCTTCACGATGAAAGCATAGTAATTGCTTTTCTGTAACTTGTGGCTCTTAAGCTGGCTACATATTAAAAATATCTGAGGAAATATTTTAAAATTCTGATACCAAACTGTATTCCCCAGGCATTCTAATTCATGTTAAAGGGGAGGCCTAGACATCATCATAAAAACCAACCAAACTCCTTGGATGATTCTAGTACAGAAATGGTGTTTAGAAGAGCTGTATTTCCAATGCTTCCCTGGTCAGTAACAATCTGGTTTCCTGTCAAAACTTAACCCATGGTATTGCCATCAGCACAACAGTATGTCCTGTGTCTGCAGTACCAATGCCCAGACCCAGATAACTAATTTATTCTCAGCTTTCTGAACTCCTAGGTTGTGAAGTATTCTGAAGAAATCAAAAGAAAGGCTCAGTAGCATCACTACACACATTTCTGACTTTAACTACAACTGGATTTATAATGTCAATAGCACCCAACTATATAGTTGATCCTCATTATTTGTGGAATCTATATTTTTAAACTCACAAAAATATGCTCGTAATACCAAAATCAATACATGTGGTACTTTTGTGATCATCACCAGACATGCATAGAATGATGAACATTTTTAGATACTTAAAAAAATACATTTCCAGTTGAGGTTGAATAAGACAATACAACTCTCTCCTAGTTTCAGCTCTCATGCTAAAATTAGTGCTTTGTTGAGAGTATTTAGGACCTGTTTGGGGGTTTTTCATTGAGTGTTTTGCTGCTGAAACTAGCACTAGTGTTAAAGTGTTATCTAGTGTTTCTTTTTTTTTTAATGTTTCTAAATTCAGGAAAACTGTGATATGCCTTACATGTGTTAAATAAACTTTATTCAGGCATAAGTCAGAGTAATATTAATGATTCCACAACATATATTACATAAGTTGTGTTTAAACAAAAACACAACACAGAAAAAACAAGGTTTATACTAACTGGCTAACAACAACGACTTGTTTTATTTTGTTTTCAGTACCAGGGATGGAACTCAGGAGTTTCTGCTTTCCAGGCAGTTACTTGTGCCCCAGAGCTATCTTCCCAGCCCAAAAATGACTATTTGACTACAGGCTCAGAGGAATCTAATCCTGTAATTCCCCCAGGAGCAATAGCTGAGTGTATACTAATTCAATGTTGCAGCAACTTTATAGAAAATGACTATTGTCAATGAGAAGCAACTGTAGAACTATCCCAAACAAAAGCAATACCATGTGCATATATACACTACATTTCTCAAGCTCTCAAGCTCTGTTAAGGTTATATCACCTTAACAAATCAGAGCATACTTTTGTCTCTGCTATTATTAAACAACAAAGCATAGAGAGGCTAACACTTAACATTACAATGCATCATGCTAGCAGAAAATATTAATTGGATGATTCCATTCACTCAAATATAATGTTTACTTTCTATGATTGTACTAAGAATTTCTATCAAACTACCTATATATCCAAGGTATTCAGAGAAGGATGGAAAGACTAGTAATGTTAAGCTACCTTCCAAACTTGAAAACTAAGAAATCAGCTAGAAAAGGCATCCTTGTTAGGCACACAGAGATGCTTAGTGTCCAACAAATTTACGCTGATGGGCCTGGGGATGAAGTGTGATGTGGAGTACTTGCCTGCCATGTGCAAGGCCCTAGGTTCAGTCTCCAGTGCTGCAAATAACACACACTGCTGAAGTGCTAACTGTAGGTACTCCACTAGACACTTAAAGATAAAAGACATGTGAGTGATCTGTTTAATAAATGCTTTTGTTCAGTCTATACAAGGAGATCCAACCTTCACATTTAAAAAAAAAAAATACTATTTTTATCACTGTGTTTGCAATAAATGATGATTATATTCTTTGTAGGTAGCTGGTATGTGTACATGATAGATACATCTTAATTCTTTTTATCTCCTACCCCTATACTTTTTTGTATACTTTCCCCCTCAAGCTAACTTAAGAAGGCTTGATTTTACTGGAAATTTGATAGAAGAGATAGAAGATGGTACTTTTTCAAAACTTTCTCTGTTAGAAGAACTTTCACTCGCTGAAAATAAACTACTGAAACTTCCAGTTCTTCCTCCAAAGCTCATTCTACTTAATGCAAAAAACAACAAAATCAAGAGTAGAGGAATAAAAGCAAATACATTCAAAGTAAGTATTTTATGACAGAATACAGTGTAAGTCATAATATGCTACAAGAGAAACTTCGGCCTGTTACTATGTTTTCATTACTTTGTGTTTTTTTTGAGATGATCTCATTATGCCATTCAGGTTGGCCTTCAAAGCCTGAGCTTAAGTGATCCTCCTGCCTCAGCCTCCCGAGTAGCTGGGACTACAGATGTTCAACACAGTGCCCAGCTTTTATTTTTACTACATTTTAAAAATTATTTTGATATTAAAAATAAAGACCTTATAACATAATAAATAGCTTTACTATTAGCTTCATTCAGCCTACACCTCACTTACAATTCATGATGTTTATTTTGTTTCATGAGATGGTATACTATCTCATTTTTTCACCTATTCACACAGTAAATATTGAGAGAGAGCTGGCTGGTCTCTCATGGCATTTGTAGTCTATAAAAACTCAAACTGGGGCCTTCCCTATGTTTCTTTTTCCTTACAACATTAACAATTTATAAATGCCAGAAAAATACAGTTCCAAGAGTATACACTGAACTTGACATTTAATATGTAAAAATATTAGACTACAACATTCAATAGATAAGACTTTCCTTTGAATTCTATGATGGCACCTAACACAAATTTCTCCATGTAGTAAGACTGACACACATTTTTAAATTTAGTAATTGAAGAAAATATTTTGTAGGAAAAGGACAATGTGATAGACTTTGTCATAAGTAGAACCCATATTGTCTCAAAGTATATGGTCTGCACAACTCATCACCCCAGGTTTTACAATATAATTAATTCAGTCCTGATAGGTAAAAGCATGGGATGATCAACTCACTATTAGCAAAAGATATAGCCTAATTCAGAAAACATAAGTTTCTATAGGAAAAACAACAACAAAAAATAGGCCCTAATAAAGACCTAAAATGATCAAATATGCACTACCACAAAGCTGACCAATAATCACTCACACAAATGCATGATTTGTCCATATATGTAAGTCAATTAGAAAATGAAACAGTATTTCATTTTTCATTTCTGTTAATAAAGTATCCTTTTTCAATTATATTTTTCTTTTCTATACTTAGGACAGGGTCTACAGGGTCTCACTACGCAGATTAGACTCGTAGTAATCCTCCTGTTTTCAGCCTCCCAAGCACTGGGATTACAGGCTCACACCACCACGCCCAGTCTAAATTGCCATCTCACTGCAGCCCAGAGCGGGGCCAGTACAGCACTCCAGGGATCGAACCCTGGCAGCTGCACTCTGCCTAATCAGGTGCTTTAGTCCACTGAGCTATCAGGCTGGCCCCTTCTTTTTTCAATTTTAAAAGACATTTTTAGAGTTATTTCAGAATTTCTCTAATGTTTTTATAAGGAACTCAGAAGTTGAGCATTTAGAGGATTTTTTTTTTAAGTTTTCTTAAAAAAAAACTTGTACTAAGCAGATATGAATTAGGTAAGTCAGCCTTTGACCTATATAAACGGATCAGTATTTCATAAAAAGAGTGTTTAAAGGCTAACACTGTGGGACTTGTCTGTAGCCCCAGATACTAGAGAGGCTAAGGCAGGAAGATCATTCTGAGAATTGAACGCTAACCGTGGTAAGATACCAAGACTGTCTCAAACAAACAAACAACTAGTTTACATATTTTGGGCTTTAAACATGGATTTATGACAAACTGGTGTGAAAATGATAAACTTAACTATATTTTAGTTTTGCTTGCTGCCATAAGCCTTTAAAGGTCACTGGTAAAATCAGGTTACTGTAACTTATGTAAATGAGACTCACTAGAAGGATAGGCACTTCAGTGTCCATATAGTAGATAAGTAAGATTCTTAAGAAAGGTTCAAAATAACAGCACAGGAAAGAATTGGCAAAATCTAGCACCTGACTTGCATTTCAAAGTTAAGGGGAAAGAGAAATCCCAGAGCAAACTACACTCTTAAACTATGGTGTACAGTCATTCTTGATAATGAGTTATTGATATGAAGAGTAATCCAATATAAAGCCATTATGGAAAAAGCTATAACAAGATACATGGTTTGATAAACTGCTTCAAGTGTAAACATAAGTATATAATTCTTTATGCGTATTTTTAAAAATATATTCTAATTTTTAAATGTTTTTCCATCATATTCTATAGGGACTTAAGTTTAACATATCAATACTTGATGAAAAATACCTGTTCCATGTTATGCCTAAGATGTTTGATACTCAAACAGATACTGAGGTTAAGCTTAACAGCCTAGGTTGTATGGTAATAACAATAAACTTGTCTTCTGGATGGTTAACAACCTAAGT